GAGTGCTGTTCCATTTTACATTCCCACCAGCACTGTATGAGAGTGCCACTTTCTCTGCATCCGTGACAGCATTTGGTAGTCAGTGGTGTTGTTGTTTTAATCTTAGACGTTCCAGTAGATGTGTAATAGCAGTATATCATTGTGGTCTTAATTTGTAGTTTCTTACTGGCTAATAATAATGGAATATCTTTTCATGTGTTTGTCATTTGCACATCTTCTTTGGTGATGTGGTAAAATCTTTTGCATATTTTCTAATTGGACTGTTTTCTTATTGTTGAGTTTAGAGAGTTCCATATATGTTCCAGATGCAGGTCCTCTGTTGGGTACTTTGTTGGGTGACTTACAAATATTTTCTCTAAGTTTGTGGCTTTAATTTTCATTCTCTTAACAGAGTCTTACACGGACCAGAAGTTTTTAATTTTGGGGAAGCCTTGTTTGTCAACTTTTTCTTTTGTGGGCTGTGCTTTTGTGCAATGTTCGGTAAGTCTCTCCTAACTCCAGCTCACAAAGATTTTCTCCCATGTTCTTTTCTAAAAAGTGTTTTTTATAGACTTTTGTTTTATGTTTAGATCTATGATTTATTTTGAGTTACCTTATTTATGTGTTTATGCACTTATTCATTTACTTAAAGTGAGCTCTGTGCCCTATGTGGGGTGTGAACTCATGACCCTGAGATCAAGAGTCGCAGGCTCTACTGACTGAGCCAGCCAGGTGCCCCTATTTTGAGTTAACTTTTAAGATGCAGAGGTGTTTGTTTGTTTGTGGCCTCTGGGTGTCCAGTTATTCTAGCACCGTTTGTTCAAAGACCTGTCCTTCCTCTATTGAATTGCTTTCGCATTGTTGACAAAAATCAGCTGGCTGTACTCTGGTGAGTCCCTTTCTGGAGTTTCTGTTTTGTTTTATTGACCTGTGTGTTTATCTCTACTGTGGGTTTGAATTGAGGTCTTCTTTTCTGACCAAGCTGTGACTACTGCTTGTTAGTAAACACATAATGGTGGAAATCTGAAATTTAGATTTGGGAGATAACTTCAATAATATAATGACATTAAACTATATCAGACAAATAGATTTCTTAAAGTTTGCTAGTTGTTTGCCTCTGTAAAGAGCAATTTACATTGTTTTCACTATGAATTTAGTTATGATGGTAACTTTTGTGTTTTCTGTATACGTTGAAAATTTAAATATGAGTAGTTGAAGGAACTTAAACATATTTAATTTTTAAAACTAAAATGGTATATACACATAGTTAAAAAAAAACACTCAGATAATGTGATGGACATAAAACAAAAGGACTGCCTGACCACCCTCTCTACTCCAGAATCCTTCCCGGGAGAGGGCCACACTCCAGTCTCTTAGCTGTAGTGTCTAGTTATTTACCTCCTTATTTATAACTAATATACTTTACTGTTATTTACTGATTTAGTAATTAGATATTTTCTGCTGACTTCCTGCCTATTATGGAAGATGAGAAATTTCACACTCTTAAACCACCACTACCACTTCTTTTTTTAGCATCTTCCCAGTATAGTGACCTCACAATTTTTGGTTGAATTTTTATATACTGTTTCTATTAATCATTATATATTATTATATAAATATTATATAAATATCGTTATATAAATTGTATACTTATATAAATATTGTTAACTGTTGAGTTGAGTCATATACTATGATTATGTGACCCTTCTTAAACAATTTTTGTTTTTCCCAAAGTGCATAGTTAAAAATATTATTTGTTTTCTGTGTAGCTGTACTTCATTCCTACCAGATTCTCCTATAGTATTGTAACGCTCCACGGAATAAGGTCAGACATATCAGGTGACCTGTCGCAGTCTGGTGTGCTTCCCCCAGAGATCGCGGGACTGTCTCGACTAATATCCCCGCCCGCTGCACCTGTCTTCTCCTGTCGTGTGTTGCAGCCTTTGTTTCTTCAGTTCCTTGTCTTCATGTTTCTTGGTTTATTCCTTCACCTTGTAAGGAATTATATATAATATATATACATATCTATCTTCTAGTAGCTTCCAGAAGATGGGTCCATGGGAGATTTTTTGAATTGTGGCAAGTCTAAAAATGCCTTTATTCTACCTTTATACTTAACTGGTAGCTTGGCTAGCCAAAGAATTGTAGTTAAAATGGTTATTATTATTATGTTAAATGTTTTTATTTATTTTTGAGAGAGTGTGAGCAGAGGGGAGGAGCAGAGAGAGAGGGGAACAGGATCTGAAGCCAGCTTTGCATTGACAGCAGTGAGCCTCATGCGGGGCTCGAACTCCTAAATCGTGGGATCATGACCTGAGCCAAGTTGGATACTCAACCAAGTGATCCACCCAGACACCCCTAAAATTATGTTTTATTAGTATTTTAAAGACATTGCTTCCCTGTCATCTAGCTTCGAGTATTGCTGCTGAGTGATTGAGAAACCATTCTTTTTTTTTTTTTTTTAATTTCTGAGAGAGAGAGAGAGAGACAGAGAGACAGAGACAGCAACAGTGTGAGCAGGGGAGGGTTAGAGTGAGAGAGAAACAGGCTCCAGGCTCTGAGCTAGCTGTCAGCACAGAGCCCGACGCGAGGCTAGAACCCACGAACCGCGAGATCATGACCTGAGCCGAAGTCGGACTCTCAACTGACTGAGCCACTCAGGTACCCCAGAGAAACCATTCTTTTAACACAATAATTCTCCCTATATAGTTATGGCAGGAATAGAGGGTAATAGGCCAAAACCATGTACATACTGTCCATTTTCAGCAAATCTAAATATTTGCAACATGTGCTTCATCCCTTTCTGCAATTTTTATTTTTTATTATTTTTTTTAACATTTGTTATTTTTGAGAGACAGAGAGTGTGAGCGGGGGAGGGTCAAAGAGAGAGAGAGACAGAGAGATAGAGAGAGAGAGAGAGAGAGAAAGAATCCCAAGCAGGCTCCAGGCTCTGAGCTGTCAGCACAGAGCCTGACACGAGGCTTGAACCCATGAACCATGAGATCATGACCTGAGATGAAGCCGGACGCTTAACTGACCCAGGCACCCCCATCCCTTTTCTTTTCCTTTCCCCTTTTCTGTTTGAGAAAGTATTTATTGATATCACTAACGCTCCTCTGTTCCTCTACTGATAACATTCTGTAAAAGCATTCTTCTGAATTTGCCGTATATTTTTTCCACGTATATTTTAATACTTGTAGTAGCTATGAATAATATATCCATGATATTGCTCACATGTTTTAGAATCATATAAATGAAATCACACCATGTCTATTATTCTGTAGCATTTGTTTTTAGCATATATTTTTGAGATATGTCCATGTTAGTAACTGTAGCTCTAGTTAATTCATTTTCATTAGTGTAATGTACCCCATTGTAAGATTGTATTAAAAAATTTAATTTTAAATGGCTTAAAATGTATAAATTAGCTTTGGAATTGAGTATGACAAATAGGCATTTATGTATTTCAGAGTATTTTTATAGCGTTTTCTAATTGGGCTTAATAATCCCTTATTTAAGAAATTAAACCACAGTCTAGACTCATGAATAGCTGAATTGACATGGAGGCTTAGTTGGAGCCAGCTGGTTTTGGGATCTCTGTCCCCTGGGTAGGGAAGAGGAAAATGATAGGTGGTGTTGAGTTCAGAGGCAGGTGACAAGAAGCCAGATTAGTATGTCTCCCTCCTATTCAGAAGACCAGCTGTCCATGTGTATTGGGGAACTCTCATATCTTTAGATAATGTAGCTTAGTCCAGTCCCAAAGTTCCAAAGAGAATGTGGAAGGCATGCTTCCAAATTCTGATGTCGGCTTCAGCGTCTCCATGGACTACGGAGGGACAGACATAAGAAAGTAAGTCGCTACTAATTTAAGTTCTCATCCAACCTGAGTTTTCCCTTTGGACAAAGCTTCCTTTCATTGTGATGGTAATTTTAGCATAGTGTCATTATTATTCATCATTTTATATTGTCAGAGACTTTCTTGAACAAATTGAGATATAACATGATCTAGAACTATGTTAAGTGTGGTTTGATGGAGACAGTGATTCATATTTGAATTAAACCATTAGTTTGTTCCTTGTGACCAAGCACAATGAATATTGAAGATGCTGATCATTTATTCGTGTAAGCTTCCCTTCTGCATACTGCAGCACACCTATTATTACATGCTGGTCTAGACACTGGGCAGAGGAAGGTGAATAAGGTAGTTCTTATTGTCAAAAAAACCAAATGCCTCATGGTTTAGAAGAACAGGCATGCCAACTAGATGATACGTATGACAGCACAACCAGAGGGACACTAAGTGTGACAGCTTTTGAATTGGGAGCCCATTCTCTTTCAGCATGTAACTCAGTTCAGGTTCCTTCTCCCTTGAGTGTAGGTAGTTGATGGCTGTCACATCAGCTACCTGCCCCGCTTCTGAGCACGTTCAAGACACCTGCTTTCTATTTCTTTATCACCATCATTTGTTGTAAAAGAGCTTCATTTTCAAGGGGGTCTGGGTGGCTCAGTCAGTTAAATGTCTGACTTCAGTTCAGGTCATGATGTCATGGCTCATGGGTTCAAAGCCCTGTGTTGGGTTCTGTGCTGACAGCTAAGAGCCTGGAGCCTACTTCAGATTCTGTGTCCTTCTCTTTACCCCTCCACCCCGCCCCTCCCCAAATATAAATGAAATTAAATAATTTAAAAAATAGCTTCATTTTCAGACGATTTGTAATTATCATTGTTCGGAATTTGCTTTGAGACATTTTCTTAGGCAGAGGTATACTTATTTGAAGATCTACAAACATGAACTTGGATTTTTGTGTGCATGTTTGTGTGTGCAAGTTTGAAATTTCTAAGACAGATTTTAACTCTTTCTATTCTTTATAACTTTGTAGCTGGTGTACAATATATTAAAAAAAAGAAGTGTGATTTCCTTAAATAAGTTTACAGGATTTTTTTTTTTTTCATTTAGGTCAAGGATGGGAAAAATATGATGATTGATTTTGAACAAGTTTGAAATTTCTTTTCATTCTTTATAGGCTGTCTTGTGGAAATGAAAGCTTAAGGACTAGTTATCTACCAGATTGGAAGATGGGATCGAACAGCAGCAGAATCAGTGATCTTCCTAAAAATGAGTACTTAAAAAAGCTGTCGGGCACAGAATCTATCTCTGAGAATGACCCGTTCTGGAATCAGCTTCTCTCATTTTCTTTCCCTGCACCAACCAGCAGGTAAGAGGTTACTTGGAGATTGAAAATTTGTGTAGAAGGCCATATAATCTTGTGTGGTATGATGGTTTAAAAAAAAGTTTTTAATGTTCTGTCAGTTGATCCATCCTGTCATCCATGTACCAGTAGAAAATCCAAAAGGTACAAGAAGTTGGAAATAAGGTTTACTCTTTCCTTAGTTCCACACAGCCACCTCCCTGCCCTGGGGATGATTCCTTACAGCAGTTTCTTTTGAATCTTCTAGAATAATACAAGGTTATTTAAGCATATATCTCATGAAGTTTTACAAAATTGTTTAAGCACAAGACCCAGCATCCTATACATATCTTGCTTTTTCCCTTTTTGCTGCTGTCCTGTGCTTTTCTTCCCTACCGTTAGGTAAAATGTATTTTTTCAATGGAATACTACATGGCAATGAGAAAGAATGAAATCTGGCCATGTGTAGCAACATGGATGGACCTTGAGGGTGTTATGCTGAGCGAAATAAGTCAGGCAGAGAAGGACAGATACCATATGTTTGCACGTATAGGAGCATTAGGAGGAACTTAACGGAGGACCATGGGGGAGAAGAAGGGGGAAATAGGTGGGGAGAGGGAGAGAGGCAAACCATGAGAGACTCTTGAATGCTGAGAACAAACTGAGGGCCGATGGGGGGGGAGGGGGAGGGGAAGGGGGGGTGATGAGCGTGGAGGAGGGCACTTGTGGGGATGAGCACTAGGTGTTATATGGGAACCAACTTGACAATAAACTATTAAAATAAAAATAAAAAATAAATAAAAAAAGTAAAACGTATTTTTTAACATGTGCTTATATGCAACTGCCTTTTTCATTTAAAAGGCTACAGAAAATAAACATGAAAAAAATTTTAAAAAAAGAAAAAAAACCCCTCTCTGCCCCTTCCCTGCTTTGTCTCTCTCTCTCTCTCTCTCTCTTTCTCTTTCTGTCTCTCTCAAAAATAAATAAACCTTTAAAAAAGTTTAAAAATAAAGGGGTGGGAGCCTGGGTGGCTCACATGGTTAAGTGTAGACTTTGGCTCAGGTCATGATCTCGCAGTTCATGGGTTCGAGCCCTGCGTCAGGCTCTGTGCTGACAGTTCGGAGCCTGCTTCCAATTCTGTGTCTCTTTCTTTCTGCCCCTCCCTCGCTTGTGGACTGTCTCTGTCTTTCTCTCTCTCTCAGAAATAAACTTAAAAAACACTTTTTTTAAAAAAAGGAAGGAATGTAACTAACATATGCAACGAATGCACCTTATTCATTTCCTAATTCTAACAAACCTTATAAATCAACTACAGAAATGTTAATATGGACTGGGTAGGAGGGTTTATTGTTAATTTTGTTAGCTCTGATAATGGTATTATGGTTATAGAAGGAGACATCCTTATTTTACTTTAAAGTACTTAAAAAAAAGTAGGTGAAGCAAATATGAAAACAATCGGAATGGTATTAATTATGAATGGATAAATATGGTATATTCATGCAGTGGACTTTCACTGAGAAATAAAAGGAATGATTGATACATGCTATGACATAACATTCACAGATCCTGGGGACATTTTTAGGGGGCTACGATTCTGCCTGTCACACCAAACCTGTTAAAAAAAATGAAAATTTTACAGTGTAGGTATTGAATATGTTGACATTTAATATTCTAGTCAGTCTGTATTATTATATGCCTATCAGTTTTTTTAAAACCAGTTTTTTAAAATGTTTATTTATTTTTGAGAGAGAGAGCATAAGCAGGGGAGGAGCACAGAGACAGGGAGACACAGAATTGAAACAGGCTCCAGACTGTGAGCTGTTTAGCACAGAGCCCGATGCGGGGCTCGAACTCACAAACCGCAAGATCATGACCTGAACCGAAGTCAGACGCTTAGCTGACTGAGCCACCCAGGCGCCCCTGCCTATCATTTTTTATAATCAAGTTAAAAATGAAATCTTGGTTTTCATCTATCAGATTGACATAAGTCAAAGAGTCTAAAATTGCACTAAATTAACAAAAATGTGGGGAAGCAGACCTTCTCATGCCCTGCTTGTAGAAGTATAAATTGACACAAGTCAATGGAACAGTTTGGCAAGATCTGTCAGAATTATAAACACACAGACACTCTGACCCAGCAGTTCCACTTTGCGGAGTTTATACTAGAGGTATATTTGTACACATGGGAAATGACGTATGCAGCGTTATTTGTTATGACAAAAGTCTAAAAACAGCATCCACAAACAGAAAACTGATTAAATATAGTCCGTAGACTCTCTGCAGCCATTTAAACATTTTAAAAAAATTTTTGTTTATTTTTGAGAGAGGAAAAAAAAAACTAAGAGACAGAGACAGCTTGAGTAGGGGCAGAGAGAGAGGGAAGACAGAGAATCCCAAGCAGGCTCTGTGCTTGAACTCACGAAACTGAGAGATCATGACCTGAGCTGAAATCAAGATGGTTAACCCACTGAGCCACCCCAGCACCCCAGTTACAGTTCTTAAATGTCTTTATTGATTTATTTTGAGAGAGTTGGGGGGAGAGAGCATGAGCAGGGCAGGAGTGGAGAGAGAGGGAATCCCAAGCAGGCTGTGCGCTGACAGCTTGATCTCACGAACTGAGACTGAGATCATGACCTGAGCAAAACCAAAAGTCAGATGCTTAACCAGCTGACCCACAGATGCCCCTTAAATGTATTTAGAGTAGAGATATTCACTTTCCAGCCCCTGCCGTGGTTTTTTTTCCCTGCACTCTTAATTTTTTTTTTTTTAACAAACTGGGTGTGTTTTTCTGTAGAGTGTTCCAAACCTTCTGGGTTTACCTGATTGCTTCTGATATCTTGTAACTTGTATGTGTTTGTGTGTGTGTGTATGTGTTTTCTGTAAACTGGAAGTCAGATTTAAAGGCTTGATGCACCTTAAACGGTGGATCCTCTTTGGTAAGGGTTCTGTGTAAGTGATTCTGTATACTTCATACTGTTACATCTGGACACAGAAAATGTGTGGTTTCGGATCAGTTATAATGCTGAGCTTGATTTGAGGTTTGAGTGTGTTTTAGCATCCACTGATGATTTTGATCTGAATTACCTGTTTTAGTAGAAATGACAGAATGGTAATATTTCTAATTTGATCATTTCTTATATATTTATTAACTGGAATTTTTCTGTAAAGAAGAGCTTTCCTTCATCATTTAGGTTATATGCAGTTTTTATTATTAAAGAAGGGTAAAATCTCAATTCTTTTCCTTTACCAATTTTCAGTATGAAAATAGTATAGTGGTTACCAATAAGTATTTCCCTTCTCCCTCAACCCCAGGCTTGGGAGGGCTGTCTCTCTGCCTTTGGATGGTGAATTATAAAGAAAAAATCTATATGTGTATGTATGTTGTGGTCCTTATGATTTCAATTTGCCTTTTTTTTTTTAAGTTTATTTTGAGAGAGAGTGTGCACACGGGAAGGGGCAGAGAGATTGGGAGAGTGAGAATCCCAAGGAGGCTCCACACCTTCAGCAGAGCCCAACACGGGGCTCGATCTCACAAACCACGAGATCATGACCTGAGCCAAGATGAAGAGTCGCTTAACCTACTGAGCCACCCAGGCGCCCCCAATTTGCCTTTCTTTAATGATCAAGGTTATGTTTATTTTTATGTGTTTAAGTCTTAAGGATTATTGATATTACCTTATTGTGAACTATTTATATATTTTGGCAATAATGTTTAATATGTTGCTTCTGGATGCAGTTGGATTCACTTAGTTTACAGTTTCAGGTGACAGCATGGATTAGTTGCGTATTAGAGGATGTGGGTATCTATTTCTGCTTCTGAAAGCCTTAGCTGTGGCTCAGTGGGAGACACTAAACTGGAGACAGCTAGTGCATCGGCAGATTTTGAAACTGTTTCCCTTAACAATCAACAAAACTAAAAGGCGACCCACAGAATGGGAGAAGATATTTGCAAATAACATATCAGATACAGAGTTAGTATCCAAAATCTTAAGGAACCTACCAAACTCAACACCCAAAAAGCAAATAATCTAGTGAAGAAATTGGCAGAAGACGTGAATAGACACTTTTCCAAAGACGACATCCAGATGGCCAACAGACACATGTAAAGATGCTCAACGTCGCTCATCATCAGGGAAACAAATACAGATCAAAACCACAATGGGGTACCACCTCCTACCTGTCAGGATGGCTAAAATGAACAAATCAGGAAACAACACATTGGCGAGGATGAGGAGAAAGAGGAACCCTTTTTCACTTGCTAGTAGGAATGCAAACTGGTGCAGCCACTGTGGAAAACAGTATGAAGGTTCTTCAAAAAATTAAAAATAGAACTACCGTATGACCCAGCAATTGCACTACTAGGTATTTATCCACAGAACAAGGAGTGCTGATTCAAAGAGACACATGCATTCCAGTATTTATAACATTACTATCGCCAGTAGCCAAAGTATGGAAAGAGCCCGAAAGTCCATTGACTGATGAATGGATAAAGAAGATGCGGTATAATATACAATGGATCATTCCTTGGTGATCAAAAAGAATGAAATCTTGCCCTTTGCAACAACGTGGATGGAACTGGAGAGTATTATGTAAGTGAAATAAGTCAGTCAGAGGAGGACAGATGTCCTCTGATTCCACTCATATGTGGAAACACAATCCATAACATCGCAGAAGGAAAAGAAAAAAAGCTAAAAGCAGAAAAAGAGGCAAACCATTAGAGACTTAAATCCGGAGAACGAACTGCGGGTCGGTAGGAGGTGGCCGGGAGGATGGGTTAAATGGTGACGGGCATTAAGGCGGCACTTGTTGGGATGAGCGCTGGGCTTGTAAGAGATGAATCACTGGGTTCTACCCCTGAAGCCAAAACTACACCGTATGTTATCTAACTTGAATTAAAAAAAGGAAAATGAAACCTATTCCATAATCCGTGAGGCGTTTCTCACTGAGTGGCACTGCTCATGTTGAAATAAGACTTAGAAGAAATAGGGCATAGAGAGACTTCATTTGTTGTCAAACACGTTTTCTTT